TCACACTGGCTCCAGAGAATCCCTGTGCAACCTCCCGAGCTATCAGTCAGTGCCATCATCGTGGGTCAGGGTTAAATGTTGGTGAAGGAGTCAGCTTACTAGAGGGCTGAGCTAATGGTCCTCACTCTGGGATTCTTTCGGAACCAGGGGCTGGCCTTGGAGGGGAAGTTGGCTGATGAAGCCCCTTCCTACTGTACTTTGACACAGAGGTGACATTTAGTAACCTACAAAGGCAGTGGTGGGTTGCAAGCTTTTTTATATATATTTTTTATTTCAGAGAGAAGAAGGGAGGGGGGAGAATGATAGAAACATCAATGAGAGAGAGAGAGAGAGAGAGAGAGATCAGCTGCTTCCTGCACACCCCCTACTGTGGATGGAGCCCGCAACCTGGTCATGTGCCCTGACCCAGAATGGAACTGTGACCTCCTGGTTCATGGGTCGACGCTCAACCACACCGGCCAGGCCAGAACAGCTTTTAAGAAACAAATTGTGGAAAACCTCGATGCTCCCTCTCCCTTGGCTGGCAGTGAGGAGGCCGCACCATGGCCGGAGTTACTGTAAAAGATGTGAACGAGCGGGAGTTCTCAGAGCTCTGGCAGCCTTCCTCCAAAAGTCCGGGAAGCTGACAGTCCCTGAGTGGGTGGGCACTGCCACGCTGGCCAAGCATAGAGAGCTTGCTCCCTGAGACAAGAATAGGTTCTGCACACGAGCTGCTTCCAGAGCGCGGCACCTGCACCTTCGGGGAGGCGCTGGGTTGGCTCCTTGACCAAGATCTATGGAGGCAACAGAGAAATGGTGGCGTGCCCGCCACTTTAGCAGAGGCTCTAAGAGCGTGGCCCACAGGGTCCCCCAAGTCCTGGAGGGGCTGAAAATGGTGGAAAAGGATCAGGATGGGTACCGCAAATTGACACCTCAGGGACAGAGAGATCTGGACAGAATCGCAGGGCAGGTGGCAGCTGTCAATAAGAAGAACAAATGCTGGATTAATAAATTGCCTCATTCAATGAGAGAGAGAGAGAGAGGGAGAGAGAGAGAGAGAGAGAGAGAGAGAGAGAGAGAGAGGAAAAGAAAAAAGAAAAGAAGAGAAGAGAAGAAAAGAGAAAAGAAAAGAAAAGAAGAAGAAAAGAAACAAATTATGTGCTGGCCAGTGTGCCTCAGTTGCTTGGGCATCAGCCCATACACCAAAAGGTTGCTGGTTCAATTCCTGGTCACGGCACATGCCCAGATTTCGGGCTTGATCCCCAGTATGGGGTGTGCAAGAGGCGGCCGATCAATGTTACCCTCTCACATTGATGTTTCTCTTTCTCTCTACCTCTTCCTTCTTCTCTCTCTAAAAATCAATTAAAAAAATAGAAACAAATTACTCTGAGAGCTCAGAAAAGGATTGTGCCAACGGAAGCCACATAGGCTGTCATCCCACAACAGGTGCTGCTCAGGTAGCTCCAAACGCGCTTCTGGAAGGCTGAGTATACAGACAGCAGAACCAACGTTCATCCAGAGAGAGGGGCTGCCGGGAGCTTCCTGGACCTCTCGTCACCTGTCAGTCACAGCCTCCTGCCTGCCCGCCCCAGGAATGCTCCCCTTCCAGGTCCTCACTGCAGAGGCCCTGGCTGGGCCCTTCCCACCCCTCCCTGCCTTCACACCAGCCGCTCTGTGCCATCCCCTTCAGCTGTGCTTTCAGCTCAATCTTCTGAGGCCTCAGCAGAGCCACTGAGGGAAGGAAGCAACACAGCTTCTCTAGCCTCTGGAGATGCTCACGGCAAGTCCTGGCCGTTCCCACCTCTTTGGTGTGACAGACTCACCCAAGGGCTCCCCATCTATGCTGGGAAAAGTGCCATGCTGGCCAAGAGGAGAAGGCAGAGAGCCACTGTGGTTCAAGTCTGCATTTCTGTTTAGTTGGGGTCCTGTATCTGCAGTGGCCTTGGTGGTGTCAGTGTGAGAAGTGACTGCCCTGCTCAAGGGCTGTTGGAGGCCCTGCTGGTGCATTCGCGTCCCAGTGCTGCTGGCCAACTCCACACGCTGGGCCCAGCTCACCTGGATGGGGCCATTGGCCACACCTTGCTGACCTCCAATATGGTCTCAAGGCTTAAGGCTTTCACTCCCCCTCAGTCCAGGATGTGTTTCCTTTGTGATTATTAAATTCACATAGCCTTGGCCCTTTCTCCATAAAACAGTCAAGGTCCAAGGGATGGTACCTTGGTTCCCTTTGCCTTGGTGTCAGCAGCTGACTCTGGCTCATTTCCCAGGGGCAGGATGGATGCCTCCACCCCCACTCCACAAGGGGTCCCCTGAGGCGGTTCTAGAGTGGGGGAGGCTGGGTACCTTCTCCTGACTCCCTGGCTCCTTCTCATAAAATCCCCCATGAGCAGAGGTTTCCATCTACTGTTTCCATTCTGCTACAGTTGATGACCTTTTCAAAAGCTTTACTATCTCCTAACTAATATATATTTTATTTATATGTGCTTTATATATAATTATTGCAATTATATATACATATTATCATTGTATTAGAAAATAGGAATATGATATGCTAGAAAATATACTCATAATCTTACCCTCTATTGATAATCACTATTATTATTTTGGCGTATTTCCTTCCAAACTTTATAACATTTTTCATTCATGTACTTTTTAATAAAATATGATTACTCTATATGCCCTTTTGTTACAGTGATTTCCCCCGTTGACTATGTGTTATAAATATGTCTCTTTATCAGGAAACATGTCCACAGCATGATTTTGGTGGCTGTTTAGTATTTCATCGTATTGATGGGTGAGATGGATTCAACCTGTTTCCCATTATTAGGTACTTTAGGTTGTTTCCGTTTTTCTTTATATTGGAGAGGCTGCTATAAACAACATCTGCTTACCTATGTTTTTGTGTGGAGCATTTATTATTCCCTAAAGATAAATGCCTAGAGGAGGGGTTATTAGGTCAAAGGGCACAAACATTTTAACATTGTTCTATAGGTACTGCTGGTCTGCTCTCCAAAGCACACTGATTTCCCTTCCCATTAGCAGTGGTGAGCAAGCCACCCTCCTCGCTCACCGGTCTGGGTTTTATCACTATTTGCCGTCTCTGCTAGTTTGCCTCAATCACTTGCCTTGGCAAAGCCTGTCTGGGCTTTCTCTGGAGGTCTAGGGGGGCACTGAGGTTGCACTGATAGGACAGTGTCCTGGGCCTCGCCCGGGCAATTGAACCAGAGCCAAGGACCCACCCCAGGCCGGAAGGATGACCTAGTTCAGTGATGGCGAACCTATGACATGTGTGTCAGAGGTGACACGTGAACTCATTTTTTTGGTTGATTTTTCTTTGTTAAATGGCATTTAAATATATAAAATGAATATCAAAAATATACATCTTTGTTTTACTATGGTTGCAAATATCAAAAAATTTCTTTATGTGACACGACACCAGAGTTAAGTTAGGGTTTTTCAAAATGTTGACACGCCGAGCTCAAAAGGTTCGCCATCACTGGCCTAGTTTCTGCAGCAGACTGCCAGTGAGCTGGAGCCCTCCTGACCCTGAAGTATCACAGATAACCCTGTAGCGTGAAGGCTGACTCTTACTAGTAGAGTGGGCCCCATAAAACCCTCAGATACACGCAGACACACTCACTGATACTCCTAGAGGGACACACCCAGACACAGAGACACTGATACAGATAGAGTTATACAGAGAGAGATACAGGCACACACTCACACATCCACAAATGCACACAGACACACATAAGCACTCACATAGACATGCAGGCCCTAGTCAGGTAGATCTGTCCAACCTTCCACATACCGGCTCCCATTTCTCTCCAGAGCCAAAATCTAAGCCTGCCTTGGAGGGGCGGGCATTTCCTCTGTTCCTAGTGGCCACCTCCTCAGAAGGAGAGAGGGAGGGAATGGGAGTGCTCCGAGAGTGAAGAGCAGGCCCTTCGGCCAGAGTAAGAGGGACTGCCAGATGCATCATTCTTCAGAGGGCCCTCTGGCTTTCGTCCAGCCCCACCCTCCCCCAGAGTGAGAAATCCGCACAGCAAGGGGACACGCACACTCAGATCCCTGGCCTTCCTTCCAGACCACACGCAAGTGCCTGGGACCCTGGCGTTCCCTGAGTCCAGGGCCTCTTCCCGCTCATCCTCCCTAGAGGGAGCTGGGCCTCACTGCCAGCGTGTGCACCTGGCCTGAGGGGTGCTCCAGGGCGGCTGTGCATGGGCGTGGAAGGCTGCATTGTCTGCTTGCCTGCAAGGGTCCTCTGCAGGGTAATGGGAGGCAGAAGGAGAAGCGATGGGAGTCATTACTATAAGCTGGGGTGGGGGGTATCTCTCCCCAAGTCACCACATTTCAGCACAGAACTCAGAGTAGTCCAAGAGTGACAAATTCAAACTTTGCCTTCCAAGTCATTTTTTTTATTTAATAAATCATTATTGTTCAGATTATTACAGTTGCCTCTCTTTTTTTCCCCCCATAGCTCCCCTCTCCCCGGTTCCCCCCCCCCCCCCTTCCCTTCCCACACCCCCGCCATTGTCCTTGTCCATAGGTGTAAGATTTTTGTCCAATCTCTTCCCGTACCCCCCACACCCCCTTCCCCTGGAGAATTGTCAGTCCACTCCCTTTCTATACTTATGATTCTATTATATTCACCAGTTTATTCTGTTCACCAGATTTTTTCTTCACTTGATTTTTAGATTCACTTGTTGATAGATATGTATTTGTTGTTACCCAAGTCATTTTTGATGGTCTGTTTTCCAAAGTTGGAGAATTAAACATTTTTATCTTAATAGTTTGTTAGATTGATTTATAACCTTTAAATATTCAGAATACTTAGACATATGGTATGTGGGCCTCCCCTTGTATGTGTGTCCCTGGTCCTGCGCATGTTGAGAGCAGACCTGAAAGAGAGGCTAGAGCTGGCGCTTTTCTAAGGAGGAGAAAGGGAAGTGGCTCTGTGAGCCGGGCCTGGTGCGGCTGCCCTGCTGGCGCGGCTGTGAATGGTGCCCCTTCCTTTTCAGATCACGTTCAGGAAAGACCACCTGGAGGCCTGCCTCCTTTCCCTGGGGTGTGATGTGATGGCGCGGGAACGCAGCAACTTCGAGAGCTACTCCATGTGTTATGAGCATGTGCTGGAGCACACGAGGCTGAAGCTCTGTCAGACGGAGCAGGTATGTCCCCCAAGACCAGAGGCAAGGGGGGAGGTAGAGGGAGGGAGGCCCCGGAGTCACTCCGAAGAAGAAAGTGAAGCAGAGGGTGGGGAGAGGTGTTTTTATGTAAGAACTGGGGGTGGATGGCACGCTCCAAATTCCTCTTCTCATTGGCTCATTTTCTCCTGCTGGATTCTCACCCACAAAGCGGGTGGCCTTGGCAAGAGTGGTTGTGTGGGTTGGAGGTGTCTAGTGGGAATATAATAAGAGGTAAGCAGCTAAGGAGCTGGCCCCCAGGGAAGATGCATAGCTGACCTTCCCACCCTTGACAAACACTAGGCACCTGGTGCTGTTCTGGTCTAGCAGAGAAGCCAGGATCCTTGAGTCAACACATCTTCAGGACGCACACCATGGGTCTCAGGATGAGGCTTCCTTAAAATGAGACCCCACTGCGGGCCCCAAGAGTTGCTTCTCCTGTCCTAGATTGCATTCTTTTTGAAATGGATTGCATCGGAGGTTCAGTGTCATTTCAGTGCATACCTAAAAGCAGTGCAAAGGTCTGAACAAATGAAGCATTAAAATATCAAATAATGAGTCTTGGCTCTGGCCCCCAGCTTGGCTATCCCCATAGCTGAGTCCTCTGTGTCAGTGTGGATACCTGCAAGTAGATGCTGTCTTTTGATGCTGGACTGGTCATCCTGAAGCACAGTCCTGGCTCTGGGTGGGGCCCAAGGATCTAAATCATCGGTTCTCAACTATATGGTTGGGTCACAACAGGAGGAACTGTATTGAAAGGGCCAGAAGGTTGAGAACCACTGATCTAAATGAAGCTCCATGAACACAAATCGGAAGTGTCTGGAGCATGTGGTACTGAACTGGGCCATGGTTGGAAGAGTACATGTTTGAGTTTAGTTGTGCACTGTTTTCTTCTCTTCAGGAATTACATGTTTTACGAAGAGGTCAGAGTCCACCTGAGGATAATGCCAGCCAGGTAGGTCGGCTATTACTAAAACGTTTCTCTTCTCCATTTCTCAACTCCACAACCCCAGCGGTAGCCACGCCTGGGACTCCCCGGTGTTGCTTTCCTGTGCCCCCTCGAGGAAAGCTCCGCCAATGAGGGTGGGCTGCAGGAACATCCGAGGGCTGACGTTCACTTTTTAAGCAATGTGGGGTTTTGTGTTTGTTTTATTCAGTATTTTTTGTTATTTTTATTGATTTGTTTTTTCTTTTTGTTGTTATTTTTGGGTTTGGGAGAGAGGGGTTGTTTGTTTCCTTTTGAGGTCGGTTAAAGTGCAATTCCAAAGAAGAAGAGGTGTGTAGGCTGAAGTATCAAGGGGCATTTGGACATGGAGGAACTCTTTCCTCCAGATGAAAAGCAGTGAACTAGTATATCCTCGGGGGTCATTCATTCAGCAGCCATTTACTGAGCACCTACTCTGTGTCTGGTACTGTTCTCTGACCCTCAGACCCACCTAGACTCTCCCACCCACCTCTACACAACAGGATACTCGCCTTGTACATTAGGCTTAAAGGAGAAGTGCGCACGGTAGCGGCAGTTTGGAATTCCCAAATTATCTTCCATTGAAAGAAAATGTTTCTGCTGCTAGGTTGCGGAGCTCAGTCATGATATGATCATGGAAATCACGGCTCTGAGAGCCCGCCTCACGGATTTGGAAGAGGAGAATCTGAATCTCGAAAAGCAAATCAGAAAAGAAGTGCAAGAAGAATACGCAGATTTAGTCAAAACCTTGTTCATGGGTTGTTTACACATGAAAGTAAGTGGCCTGGGTCGGACCCAGGGCAGTCCTGTGGGGAGCGGGTGCAGCTGACGCATGGCGCTGCACACAGCGGGGTTGACGACCGAATGGCCATAAGAATGTTCCAGCTCTGAGCTTTCTCTACAGAGAACGAGTCAGCAATGGGTTGTCGTTATTTTACGAGAACAGACACTGAATTTTAGGTAATTTAGAAATTTGCTCTTTTCCTCACTCTGCGACCAGCTGAGGGAAGGAAGGGGGGTTCTTCTTCTCCAATGTCTATTAAGTGTGACCATCCAAACAGAGGAGGACAGTGCCCTGGGCCAGGCCAGACCCCAGGCACCGCCAGAAAGCTCGCTGGGCAGATTCAGAATCTGGATCATCTTTCGAGATTTTTCCAGCCCTCAAAATGCCCACCAGCCTTTCTCTACCATCCGTGTCAGGGAGCGGCTGACCCGTGAGTGAGGCCCATCTGGAAGAGCAGTGGTGGGTGCCCATGTGCTCACAGCACTGAGGAAGCCTGTCGCTTTCTCATGACGTCTGAGCAGCTGTAAATAGAGGCCTGGGTGCCTAGAATGGGTCATCGCAGAGCCCGGGCCAGCTGTCCCACAGCACAAATCTCCGTTCAAACCCACCCCCCTCCAGTCCACTGCCCGCTTCCCCGCATTAGACATCCCCAGAGCCAGCCCCAGCAGGTCCTTCCCTATGTCTCCGGGGAGTCCAGGGCTGTCCCAGGCTTATCACACTGAGAGGAGCTACTGCTGATGCTCCGCCCTGGCCTTCTCATTCCAGAGAGGGCTGGAGAGTCCTTCTCACTTGTGAAGGGCCCACGGAGTACAAGTGCTTACAAATATTAAAGGATCAAAACCAAAATGCGTGGGCCTGACGCTGCAGGGGAGGGGTGAGCAGACAGCGAAGGCTGGAATCTGCTAAGCCATCTTTCGAGTGTGAGGTTGTTGAAAATGTCTTAAGTTCTTTGTAGCTTCTGCCAGATTCCTAGACAGAAAGTGGATTCAGTGCTTCTCCCAGGCTAAACTAGTTCTACAACGCCCCCCAATTCTGCCATCGGGTTGACTCAGCAGAATCTGACCTGAGAAAACACTGTGGATTAGTCACTAACGGGGAAGTCCCTGTTCTACCCCAAGGTCTCAAAAAGATGGTGAAGCTTCTGTTGTGTGACCAGCAGCCGGCTCCCTACTGTGGCTCCCAGCCGGCACTCTCCTCCTGCCTTCCTCCCCAGGGAAGTGGTTCAAAGGTGAGAAGGCCCCTCACTCTCACCTTTAACTGAAGAACATTGAGTTTCCGGTGATCCAGTCATTTCACCGTAAGCCATTCAGAACAGGCTGTTTATTAGTGAGATTTCTGCTGGACCTAACTAGGAAGGCAGCCAGCCCGATTCCTTCCTCTGCTGTATCTATTTCTAATGAACTTCCCCGTTAGTGACTAATCCACCCTCTTTTATCAGGTCAGTTCTGCTGAGTCAACCTGATAGCAAAAATCCCTAAATTTAGTTCAACTGGTATGGCTCAGTGATTGAGCATCGACCAATGAACCAGAAAGTCATGGTTCAATTCCCAGTGAGGGCACATGCCTGAGTTGCAGGCTCCATCCCCAGAATGGGGCCTGTAAGAGGCAGCTGATTAATGATTCTCTCTCTCATTACTGATGTTTCTATCTCTCTCTCCCTCTCCCTACCTCTCTGAAATCAATAAAAACATATTTTTAAAAAATCCCTGAGTTTAAATGTCTAAGTAACCACGTGGGGGTGGGGGGTAATTTTCCATCTGTGATCTCCCACTCTCCTGCTCACTCAACTTGCCTTCGTGTCTGACAACCTAGGCAGGCTCTCAGGTGGTGAAGCCCTGCGGGTTGAAGACCACACTAACGGGGCTGCTAGAGAGACATCGGGGTAATACCTGATGAAATAATTGTCTGGGTGGGTGGATGCTTTTTTCATGTGAAATCATTTCTGGAAGTTGCGTTTTAGAAGGCAAAACGACTCTTCCACTACTGCCCTTCCTGAACCTGAGTCTGCGATTTGCAGGAGAAGTTGCATGAGAATCAGCTTAATTTGATCCAGAAAGTGTGTGAGCTCATCAGCGAAGTGAGAACAGAATGGATGGATCACATGAAGGACCTAAAGAAAAAATGGGGCTCTGCCAGACCTGATGAAGGAATGAGAGAAAGCGCAGCCAAAGTATGTGATTTCATTTAGCAATGGGATATCAGCACTTCTTCCAGCGTCTGACCCCACCGCTCACTCTGCATTCCCGTCGGGTTCCCCTGAGAAAGCAATGAATGCATTAGGCATATTAAAAGGGCACAACTGTGTCATCTTCTGGAAGGCATGTTTCTGACGTTAGGGTTCATGCTCTCCCAAGAAAAGTGTTGGGGGCAGCCATTTCTGAAAGTGAGCCTTCTTCACAGGAGCAGCTGCGGGACTTGGAGCAGGAGAACTGCAGCCTGGCCGCCCTGGTGTGCAAAGTGAGGAGCCTGGGCCGCTGGAGGCTGGCTGTGCAGCAGGCTTCAGCTGCTCCAACCATCTTAAAGGATCTGACAGTAGAGCATTTTTCCAGGGAACAGGCAATGTCAGAGCCTCGAGAGAAATAAGGAAAGAGCCAGAAGCAAAAGGCAAAGAAGCAAATGGGAAAACAGATCAGAGTTTAGAGCAAGGAAAGGGAAAATATGGAGGAGAGACTTTACCAAGGGCTTGAGGCGGCATTCTGCAAAATGCTTCAGCCTTGGCCAGCTTGGCACAGTGGTTAGAGTGTCCGCCTATGCACCAAAGGGTCACAGGTTTGATTCCCCATCAAGGGCACGTACCTCGGTTGCAGGTTCGATCCCAGGTCACGTGGGGGAGGCACCCATTGATGTGTCCCTCTCACATGGATACTTCTCCCTCTCTCTCTTCCCTTCATCCCCTTCTACTCTTTCTAAAAAATCAATGGGAAAAATATCCCTGGGTGAGGATTAACAAACAAACCAGAAAAAAAAAAACTTCAAATCTTTGCGTTTCAAACATGATTATCTGAGGAAAATGAAGTAACAATACAATAAGTGGAAAATCCGCTTTAAGGTAAATTGAAACCAGAGCACGTATAGCGCTCTGGGAACTTTTACTTACTGCTTCTGGAAGCCTTCCCTCTGGTCTGTCCTCTGCTCTCAACGGAAGTCGCGTGTTGAGGGCAGCGGCCTTTGGGTGGCGGGTGGCTTTGAGGCTGCTCATGAAGCTGAAACTATGGGAAGGAGACTCATTTCCTATCTTCCTGTGTTTGGGATGTTCACAGGAGGCTGCACAAAGTAAAAAGGAGTGTGTGAGCACCAAGCTAATGGCAGAACAAGAAGTGGTTTTATTTCGCCAACAGCTACTGGCCCTGAGGCAGGCCCTGGCCCGGGCTCAGGCCCACAACGTGAGGATGTGCGAGCAGCAGGAGAGCCAGGTATCTGAGCCCGGGGCCCCCCTGCAAAGCAGAATGTGGCCCCTGGAAGCCGCTGGCACTGCCTGGGGCAGTCACCGGGCTCCTCGGTGTGAAGCCAAGTGAACTGAGGAACACTCCACACAGTTCTGCCCCCGGCCCTAATGGAGGTCCCCCAACTTCTAGATCCCTGCCTTGTGCTGAGAAGAAACTGTGCCTTTCTCGTTCCCTTTGGCCTTTTCCTTCCTCAGGCCCGACTGCTGAAAGAGTTGGAACACAAAACGACCCAGGAATCTCTCCACCGGCAGCAGCTGGATTTACTGAAAACCTCCAGCATGGAGAGGCTCTTGGAAGATGTGGAGCAAAAAGAACAGCACCTGCAGCTCCTGGCTGGAGAGGCTGAGCGGGCTGCGAGACTGGGCCAGCTGCAGAGGAGGAAAACGGAGAGAGAACTCCGACAGGTAACTCCAGCGACAGGGAGCAACAACTCGAAAGCAGGTCAGGCTGCCACCGCAGAACCCTGTCATTCTTCCCGTCTTTTCCATGCCTCTCATGCCCCCAAGGCAGTGTTTCTCCACCTTCATCACTTCTGGGCCCACCAAGAAAATGGAAGTATTTATGCCTACCCTGGGCGATTGTTCCAGCTGCTTATGTGAGAGATGATGGCTTGCCTACCGCAGGGCCCATGATGTTGGCACCTTCGTAACCCACTTGAAAAACACATTTCCACCTAGTTCTAATCCTTGAACCAGATATCCTTTAGAAAATCATGCAAAAGCAACAAGTACTATGGAGGATAGATTCCTGCAAGAGCCCCCATGGCCAGCAGTGGTTTCTTTATTTTATATATTTCTTTACTTTTAATATATTTTTGTTGACTTCAGAGAGGAAGGGAGAGGGAGAGAGAAATAGAACCGTCAGTGATGAGAGAGAATCTAAGTCCTTCATTTGAATTACCTCATTTAATCCTGCATGCCTCACACTGGGGATCGAACCCACAACCCAGGCATATGCCCTGACTAGGAACCGAGCCTCAACCTCCGGGTTGATAGGTCAACCCTCAATCACCGAGCCATGCAGGCTGGGCAGCAGTGGTTTCTTTAATCTATCTCCAACCTTGAATTCCAAGGGCAGACTTTGACCCATCTTGAGAGCATGCATGTCCTTGCCTACCTCCTGCTCCTGGGGGAGTCATTTAGGGCATAGACTGCTTGACTCACACCCCAGGCCCCCAGCTGTGTGGCTTTGGGTAAGGTCTGTGGCTCTAGTGTCCTCATTGGTGCAATGGAGAATAATGTGCTCACCTCGTGGGATTTGGGGGAGGATTAAATGAGGTCAGTCATATGAAGCACTCAGAACAGGGACTGACACAGCTCTCTATAAATACTGGCTGTTTGTCTTTTTGTTGGGAATATGAAGGTGGACAACTTTGGAAATAGATAGACAGACCTGGCTTCAAATCCTGACCCTGCCACTAACTGGTTGTGTGACCTTGGGTGAGTGAGTCACTGCACTATCCTCGGTGAAGCGGAGGTGGGATATGCTGACACATTACCAAGCATGTTTCTGTCCTTTGCTAGTATTTTTCCATTGGTTTAGCCATGACTGGCTGAGGGAGGCTTATATTCCTGGGGTGGCCTGGACCCACACTCTCCCCAGGAAGCCAGGGAACTAACATATGCAGCACCAGAAAGCATCTCTGCTTCCCAAGCACTTTCCCCTCCGATGAGAAGGCAGCTTGCCCAGGAGCGCAGCGTGAAGCTGGACGCTTTCCAGCGCATAGAAGAGCTACAGACATGTTTCCCCTGGCTCCCCGGTCCCCCGTGGGTAATGAGGATCCCACACAAATCCCCATAGTACATAGAGGAACCTTAGGCCTAATTTATATTTGGACGTTTTCCTAGCTCTGAGGATCTGATCATCTACTGGAAGTCAAACTATACTTGAAAGCATCCTCATATACAAGGAACCACCACCCTTTCACATTTGCAAGACAAGCGTGTGGCCACAGCTCTGAAAGTTTAGGGGTCTTCTGGCTGGGTCTCTAGAAACAGGATTTGAAACATACGGTGGAATGTTTGAGATTAGCATGTGTATTAGCTTAGGCAAGCTGCTGTAACAAATTACCACAAACTGGGTGGCTGAAATCACCAGGACTTTGTTCTCCCACAGTTTAGGAGGCCAGAAGTCTGAGATCAAGGTGTCGTTCCGTTAGAAGGCTCTGAGGAAGCATCTGTTCCTTCTGGCTGCTGGGGCCTGCCTGCAACCCTGGCGCTCCTTGCCTTGTAGCTACCTCACTCTAGTCTCTGCCTCCCTTGTCACACGGGCTGCACCTGTGTGTCTCCCTGTGTGTATGAACCCTCTTCTCTTCTTATAAGGACACCAGTCATTGGAATTAGGGCCCACCCTTACCAGCATGACTTCATCTTATCTTAGTTACATCTGCAAAGACTCTTTCCAAATAAGATCACATTTTTAGGTTCTAGGTGGACATAGATTTGGGGGGGCTATTCAATCCACTGCACTATTATTACTTTTTTATATTTTTTTTATTGATTTTAGAGAGAAAGGGAGAGAGAGACAGACAGACAGACAGAAACATCAATGATGAAAGAGAATCACTGATTGGCTGCCTCCTGCACGCCTCTACTGGACATAGAGCCCATAGCCTGGGTGCCCTTGACTGGAATCGAACTGGGGACCCTTCAGGCAGCAGGATGACACTCTATCCACTGAGCCCAACCAGCCAAGGCTATTACTTTTTTATCATTAAAAACTTAGGCGATAATAAAAATAAATTTCAAAAGAAAAATTGCCTGTGATCTGTGCAGATGAGGCGCACTTTGGACCCAGGGACTCTGGCCAGGAACCGTGAGTCAGCTGTGCAGGGAAAAGCCGCAAGAGTAAACACAGAGGCTGCTCCGTGGGCCTTCAATCAGGGCCTCGGGCTTTTCCTGAAGGCGAGGAGCTGAGCTGAGCACAGAGGTCTGGGAGAGATCGTCTTTCCTCTGCCTAAAACCGTGCAGTGGCTCCTGCATCGAGGTCCTTGGGGCAGGGGCATGGCTTGGGCTATGAGGTCCTCTGTGCACAGGGCCCTCCCCACTCCCCTTTCCCCCCTCTCCCTCTGGCAAAATAAACATAAAAGATATAACTTTGTGATTAAACACCTGACTTTTATAAGGTAAAAAGGGGTCCCAAGGGCTGCCTCTGCTCTTTTTTGGTTAAGTTCTTGGCCTTCCTTGAGTTCTTGATGCTCAGAAGGCTGAGTTCGGCCTGACCAGGACTGGTGAAGACTTGTATTCCTGGGGTGGCCTGGACCCACACTCTCCCCAGGAAGCCGGGGAACTAACATATGCAGCACCAGAAAGCATCTCTGCTTCCCAAGCACTTTCCCCTCAGATGAGAAGGCAGCTTGCCCAGGAGCGCAGCGTGAAGCTGGACGCTTTCCAGCGCGTAGAAGAGCTACAAAGTCAGCTTAATGCCGCTGTGAGGTCGTCTGTCCCGATGAGCTCACCAGGAGGTAAGCACAGGCTCTGCTCTGGCCAGAGCAAGCTCCCAGGGCCCCGGGTCAGAGGTGAAGGAGGGTCCCAGAGACTAGCCATAACTACCCAGGGGTTATCGAGTGGGTATTTGATGAGATTTCCGACAGAGCCAGGAGAGAACCTGGACTTATTCGGAAATCTCATCAAATCTCATCAGAATTTTCTACTTTAGTTCTCCTTGAGTTCCTGCCATCCTCCATGAAATGGCTCCAGTCAGAAAAACTGGTCCCAGGAGTGTGTAACATACCACCTGAAGAACATTGGGTCCCTTCACTGGGTTTTGAAGCCTCTCAGTGCCTTGGGATATTAATGACCACATTTCTGAGATGTTATTCATAACGTCCACTATGGTTCTTGGGTGCTGGGAGCTTGAGGAGTTTTATGGAAATGGCACAGTCCCCTGGGCTCTGCAGCCCACAAGCAGCATGGAACCGGCGCCAGAACCCGGGGTGTCTCTACACTGGCTTCCTCCCCTATGAGATGAGGACTAAGTAAAGTCCAGGTTCTCTCCTGGCTCTGACTGTCGGAAATCTCACCAAATGCCAGTCACCACGATTCGCCTCTTGTGAAGATCAGCCAGGCCTCCTCTTTTCTGTTCTGCAGTGTATCCTGGTGATTGAGTGCGGGGGCTTTGGGCTAAGGTAACCAAGATTCAAACCTCGGCCCCCACACTTCTAGCTATGTGACCTTAGACCAGTTAGTTAGCCTCTTCATAAAATGGAAATAGCTACCTCAAAGGGCTATTGTGAGGATTAAAGGACATCATGCATGTCTGGCACACAGTATAGACAGTATAGCAGCACTAAGTGTGCAAATGCTGGTTACTACACTCTCATGTCTGTGTTGTACTTTTATGTTTCCTTCTGGCCACTTACCAGTGTGGATGACGTGAGAAAACACAGCCTTTCAGAGGCAGAAAGATGACAGAGATCAAGTTACTTTGGGTTTACTGAGAGCAGGGCTGGGCAAGCCCAGGGGCCTGCCCCGCTGCTCTGTGCCTGCTGCCTGGGCCCTGACAGCAGGCTGGCGTCCCTTGCCCCAGGCACCCAGTCCAAAGAGGAAGAACATCAAGAACATCCAAGGGCCCTATTTTGGCCACTGGCCCTGAGTGTGACGCAGTCCTTTCCACATGCCCTGGATTTTTGTTCCCCCCCCTCCTCTTCCCCTCTGCCTTTTTAATCCTTTTCTGGGTTAATGTGTGTCATGTAACTGCCACCCATGTCCTTCAACACCTGCATAATTATGAAGGAGAGCCATGGGGCCTGAGGAAGGTGGGGGAGCCCTAATTCCCAGGACGGGGGATGTAGCAGGAGGGAGAGAACCTTTTTCCCAGGAAGCAGAGGTAGAAGTCACTCCAGGCTCTGCCCCCATCTGTGCCCCTCTGCAATGACAGGAGGGTTAGCTGAGGACTTCCTACTTGTAGACTCATTAGAGGGGAGGGACTGGTCACACCAGTCTGTTCAGTACCCAGCACTCCCAAGGGGACAGGTAGTATCACCTACGCTACCAGTGCCACAGGGTAAGTCAGCGGGAAGTGTGGGGTGTCTCCTTTCTGAAGGGGCGGCAGCAGCAGCCTCCCTGCTCCCCACATCAGAAGCCGAGCCTTGGTGATGGAGCAAACTCTCCTAACTTGGCATTCACATGGATTCCCCTAGGAACTTGCAACTCCTGAGGAACTATCACTTGTGCCAATACAGTGATTCTCAAAACACTTCAGGGGAAAAAGGAAATCAACTGACTCACAAAACTGTGAGATAGTCAGTAGTGGACTGGCTTCAGTTAGTTTGATAAAGGTTGGAACTATTCCTTAGGACTGTTTTCTCTCCCTCCATTGCTGGGCTCTGAGAATGCTGAGAGCAGAAAGGAATGCTGGGAAGCAAGACGCCACCACGGCGTAGCTTCCATCCTCTGTTGAACCTCGGGGGCAGGATTGGGGCGTGGAGATGGGACAAAAACAATTGGGCTCTAACTGGGCTCTGCACCCAATTCTTCATTTTATTTTTATCCAAAGATTTTTCTTTAATTGATTTTAGAAAGAGGAAGGGAGAGGGAGAGAGAGAGAGAAACATTGATGTGAGAGTGCAACATTGATCAGCTGCCTCTCGCACAACCCCTACTGGGAATGGAGCCTGCAACCTTTCATTGCATGGGACAACGCCCAACCAACTGAACCACACGGGCCAGGGCTATGTGCCCTATTTTATTTATTTTTTAATATATATTATTTTAAATTTTTTTCTTTATCAATTTTTAGAGAAGGAAGGGAGGATAGAGAGATAGAAACATCATCAATTGGCTGCCTCCTACACACTGTCCACTGGGGATCGAGTCCCAACCTGGGCATGTGCCCTGACCTGTAATCTAACCGGTGACCTCTTGGTTCCTGGGTCACCACTCAACTGCTGAGCCACATGGTCGGGCTCTGTGCCCAATTTTAAACAAAGCACTTAAGACAGAGGCTAAGCTGCTTGGTGGGCTTCGGCTCAGTTCACAGTTTTTCCGCTGGAGCTGAGGATGGGGTCAGCCCACTCTCTCCTCTTTGCAGCAATTATTTTCAATATTCCTGGTCTCTTCAGGCCTTCGGACACTGTCCTTCTCCCCCATTTCACAAAAAAGTTACAAGCCTCTCAGATGAAAACTCCGACTTCCTGTCCCCAGCCTACCTACATCGATATTGCTGTTAAATTTAAAAAGGTGCCCTTTCCTTCCTCTGGCCAATCCTGCCGCACAAGATCCCATATACTCTCCTACCTTCTCAAGGACCATGAACTCATTGTTATCTGCTTCCTGTCTATACATCTGTCCATTTCCCACACATCTATTCTTCTAATCTTGTAATCAGCAATTATTGAGCATGTATGTGCCAGGATCATAAAATCCATTGTAACATAAAATTAACATCTATCCAGTTGCATGAGCCAGAAATCTGGGAGATCTTCTCCTCACCCTGCCAACCCAGTTAATTACTAAGTCCTATCAACTTGAAGATCTCTCGGTCTGTCCACTTCTCCACACAACAGTCCAAGTCACCCACCATCTCCTTCTCTTTCACTTGGTCATGTTACCCCTTAGGCAAAAGACTCTATCAAGGTTTTGACATTTTTGACTCAAAATTAATGAAGCTGGATTATATGCCCATTTTAAGCTTTAAAATTTTATAAATTACATCTAGGTCTGTACATTGCAATTAGAGATATAATTTAGCATTTTTAACATTATAGGCCTTATATCCCGGGCTCCGGGCTCCCTCAGTTCTGCTTCTGCATCATCCAGATACCCGCAGCAACACCTTTTAAAGACTAATCTTATGGGCAATAAAATAACAGGAAGGATTCAGAGGCCGAAGACTGTAAGTAACGATAAATTTGAATATATATATATATATATATATATATGAATGAAACAATGAAAAGCGTAGATATGAAGTTATGGTTTTAGGGTCGCTTCAAACTTACATTAAAAATGGCCGAAGACTGTAAGTAACAATAAATATGAATATATATATATATATATATATATATGAATGAAACAATGAAAAGCGTAGATATGAAGTTATGGTTTTAGGGTCGCTTCAAACTTACATTAAAAATTATATGTCAGAATCTTATCTAGGTGCTTCCTTAGGTCTGGATAATAGG